TCATTGGGCTTTAGTGTAGGTTATTTCAAAGCAATACAATTACTAAGGCAATGTTGCATGTATTAGTAATAAAGTGTCAAGGTTGCAATCTGTGTAATGTTGAGCTCATTCGAAATCTGGGCTTTTTTTTTTCTTTATACAATCATTGGCCGTTCGTTTAAAAGTATGGCATGGTAAACCGACCCCCCAAAAAAAAAAAGAATTTTTTATTTCATTGCTAAAAATAATATACACAAGCAAAGCTATGCATTGGCAAATGCGTAGGAACACTGGAAGCCATTTACAAATGGCGCCAAAAACTTAGCCACCTGACAAATGCAAGGGCTTGTTTTAATAGTGTTTTTCATCATCACTTCTACATTTATGTATATTTGTGTAATGCAAGTGGCTAGCAAACATGAATAGATAAAATTCCCACTGTTTTTTTCGTAAGTTACGGTTGCAAATTTTTCCAACAGTTACGCTTTTGAAGCTTAGTCATTGTTTCTCGTTGTGAGCACTTTCTGCACTTGTTTTTAAACATATAGGTGCATTTTTTAAACATAAAGGTGCAAAAACTATCTTGAGTGATCGCACTTAAATTTTTTCATATTACGTTAGAATTGCTTCAAAATATTCTTAACCTAAAGCTATTAAACACTGGGTGAGTCATAACTAAAGAAAAGAATATTATGATTGAAAAGTCTCTTCTGCTGTACGTGAAATCTGAGGACAGTATTTTTCTTTCTTGTGAGGTATATGTAGGAACCTGGTTTTAGAGGTCGGAGCTAACGCCGCCAATATGTAGAAGAGAGCGGGAAACAAGGGGGCAGAATTCAAGTATAAAACCAATTATCTTAGAGACAGTTGTTTCATTTAAGCGGCAGTTCTGTTCAAAAGATTTTCGTTTACTGTATTGCCATGGTGCTATTACTTCTGCATTCACTCACGTATGTGTGCCATCTCTGCTGTAACCAGAAGCACAGTCCACAAACGCACCAATTTAAGTTGATTGGTGGTTGAAATAGCGGCATTTGCTTACTTGGATGTCTTGTGAAGAGTTTCAGTTCGATTTCATCTCTTGGCTAAAATTACCAGCATTCACCTTTGGAGAATCTTCGAGAGTTGGTGGAATTTTCGCATAAAAGGCTTGAAGTCTCCCCTTTGGCCAGATCATCTGTCTGCACTTAGGTTAATCAGTTAATTTCTGTTTTAGGTATGTCTCTACTCAACTTAACTTGTGTGTCGCCACAGAAAAAGTAATTATGAAGTCTTTGAGCAACATTCAGTATAGGAGCAATGCTGGTAGACGTGATGATTTTTTTCCTTCTGATTTCGTTCACTGCTGGTAACAATTTCTCACCTCTTTTTGGCTTCTATGTGGCCCTTTTGATTATTGCCTATTACAACTGTGATAGATTCTTCATATTCCTACTGCATACAAGCACTTTGTTGCATCCATTAAGAATTGAACGACTTGTTATTTTATGTATGTTTTATGGTATTCTATAAATTTATCTCTTTTATAATTTTCACTTGTGGTATTTCAATGCCTGTACTAAAATAATTCAAGTAATAAGCACACGATTTTTCTCATTATGGCCATGTAAGTTTGCTGATTGTACTGGCATGCTTAATCGTTTTGCCATTGAGCACTCTTGTGCTGAAGGAATATTACCAATAATCATTATTATGAAAGTGTGGTAATCCATCTAGGGATTTTTAAATGTTCATAATAAACTGTGATCTACTTGCTGTGTCTGTACCAGGGCACTGGAGACACTCTTTTTAAGCGATCATGCATGTGAACGATTAAGCTCCCTAAAACTATTGAACCAGTACACAGAATTTTGATGGAACGTGCACCATTAGGCTTAGTGCAGGCTACTTCAAGGCAATGTAATTAGTGAAGTTTTGTGTAGTGTTCATGAAGTATCAAGGCTACAACCTATATAATGTTCACTTCATTTGATCTCTCTTTTTCTTTATACAATCAATGGTCATTTGTTTAAGGATATAGAGTAGATAGAGGAAAAGCATTTTTCAAATTTCACTATTTGAAATAATGCACACTATTTATATAGTGTGCTGTTTAGAAAGGGCACCAAAAGCAGCTCTTCAGGACAGCTGCAACTGGCTTGTTTAAATGTTGTTTATCATCATCGCCTCTGCATGTATATATGTTTTTGTAATAAATATTGCTAGATAAGTTAAATGGATTAAATTCCTACTGTTTCCATAAATTCTGATTGCAAATTTTCCCCAGCAGTAAACCTTATGAAGCACACACATTGATTCATGCTGTGGGCACTTTCTGTGCCTGTTTTTAAACATAATGCATTTTGTAACTATCATTGAAAAAACTTTTGAAACCTTTTGTGCCTTTTCTGGAAAACTATCTGGGCGATTGCACTAAACTTTGTTCAGATTACGCTTCAATACTTTCCGTATATTCTTAACCTAAAGCTATGAAAAAGTGTGCAATTCACGAGTAAGAAAATAAATTGTTAATTGGAAAGCCTCTTTTGTGGCATGTAACATCTGAGGCTAATATATATATATTTTTTTCTTGGGAGATGAATGTAAGAATCCTATTTTAGAAGCAGGTGTAAATGCTGGTAATATGGAGAATCGGAGTGCTATACTTCACGCTATGCTGTTTGCCATATCTGAAAAAAGGTACATTTAATTTTGCACCTCGCTAAAGAATTTGGTATCTTAGAACAAAATAATGCCTAAAGCTACGTAGTCAAAATTGGCGGGTTCAAATCCCGGCTGCGGCGGCTGCATTTCCGATGGAGGCGGAAATGTCGTAGGCCCGTGTACTCAGATTTGGGTGCACGTTAAAGAACCCCAGGTGGTCGAAATTTCCGGAGCCCTCCACTACGGCGTCTCTCATAATCATATGGTGGTTTTGGGACGTTAAACCCCACAAATCAATCAATCAAGATTGCACAAAATAAATGCCAAAAGCTTTCTTCATTGAGCGCTTATAATTTTGCAATAAACGATGGAAGAGTACTTGAGATATAAAACTGAAACCAAGATTAATACTTTAATCTGCCACACACCTTTAAAACATGCTGACAGTGGTGTTCCTGGTAATGTACTGCAGTGTCACTTAATAGGATCAGGGAAACAGAGTGCCAGCTTTGCTGCTTTGATCTTTACATGAGAATGCAATTTGTTGCACTAAGGAAGCTTCTGCCATAGAAAACCAGGAAAGAATGAGGACATCCTGCAGGGGCACTTGCTGCCTACATGTGTTTGGCGTGTTGCGACACCACGGACCCGAGCAAACGGGGGTCTGTCGCCCCCATGCCCATCCTTGTATGGCTGCACATTGTCCAAGCTTGCAGGAATAAATTCAATGAACTCGGCTGATGCTTTGAACCGGGACCCTTAAGTGCCCCTCATCACGTTACAGAGCAAATTTCAGTTGCGCGCTGAAAACTGTTACGTACCCCGTAGAGAGCATTCACCCGCTGGCGTGGGCTTGACTGCTGACCAGCGGGTTGCGGGATCAAATCCCTGTGGGAGGATCCGCATTTCGGTGGAGGAGAAACGCAATGGGCCCGTGTAATTAGATTCAAGTGCACGTTAAAGAACACCAGGGGGGGTCAAAAGTTTCAAAGCCCTTTACTAAAGCATTTCAAAATCGTATAGTGGTTTTAGGGCATAGAGCCCCAACAATTTTCTAATAGCCTTGTAAGAAACATTGTACTGCAAAAATTTTTGAAATTGCTCATTCCGAGGTAATGCTTACTGTTTTCATGAGTTCTAAAGCAACTGCACGACTCTGCAATGATTGCGATGCCGTAGAAACTGAACAAAACAAATCTGCTTCACATCCATGAAGCTGGCCTTCAAGTGCAGTTTAGCAAAACATTTTTCTTGCCTTTTTTCAGACATGCTAATGCTCAGTGAGTAAATTTGTGAGTGGTGCATAATAAAAGAGGCAACGGTGCACCTTTTTAGACCACGTACAAGCACAGCAATTTTTCTCCTCTAAGCTGTCTCATTATAACTCGTATTATGCTTCACGTCAAAACACTTTGAAGGCTACTGAAAGATAACTCATGATTATCAAAGTAGAATGTTTCAAATTAAAATGGCTCCATGATAATGCAGTATATCCTCTGAAAAAAACTTACCAGCATGTCAATGTAGATTACGAATGATGAAATAGCCAGCTCAGAACGCAACTACAGTTTAAAAATGTATATTATGTTAGAACAATATTTGTAGACCTGATGATTTTGCCTCTGATTTTGTTCATTTATGGAGAATTCTTGTTTCCTTCTATCTCTTCCTAGGTAAACATCGTGAAGTATCGAAGGACTCTGAGGTCCCAAGTCAATGGAAGAATGTTATCTTGAACCCCATGCTGTTTACCTTTCTTGTAATATGCTGGTTACTTCATGTTATTGGCTGTGATTTGTAATTTTATTGCAAATTTCTTACTGACCTTTGTATTACTTTACTGTTGTTGAGTTCGGCATACATCGTGGCATACAGTTTTCTTTATAGATTACGCATCTAAAAAGATGTCAACTGATCTTAAAACGTTGCAGCAAAACTGCAGAGGGCTGGGTGTTATGCTCTATGTATTTTTTAGCAACAATGTGTTTCACTAGCTTGGTCCTTGGGTAATTGCATACCTCTTATTTGAGCAAATCTGCATGGTAACCAGCCCTGTGTTTTGTGAAATTGCCTTAAGGCCCTTTTCAGTGAAGAATTACTATTAATTATTATTAATTCTCCTCATTTTTTGGTATTTCATAAATACGGCTCATACCTTAAAGCGTGAAAGCAATTGTGTGCGTGGATTTCTGTATGTGTAAAACAACTGTAGATAATTCTAAATTTAACCACCTTCCTCCATTATGTTATGCTTCATAATCAAGGAGTGCAGTTGCACTATAAAACCCTTTGATTTGAGCTTATATTCTTTTCGAATGAAAATCACCATTTCACTGAGCCAGCTTGTTTGTTTTTTTGCGCAGCTTCATCGTCTCCCATCGATCTATCGACTACGGATTACGAGGAGTCACAAGGGGGGCTCTGTCACCACTGCTACTTGTGCGACTATGAGACTGATTATCCGTCTCACCTGAAACAACACATGAAGATTCACACAGGCAAGCCGCCATTTCATTGCCACTTATGTCCCCAGAGCTTCAAACGAGGCTGCGCGCTGGATTATCACCTGCGCACCCACATGGACGAGCGACCCTTTAAATGCCTTTCATGCTCTGAAGGCTTCGCCGAGATCTCCTCATTAAGAAATCACGTGCGCCTCCACGGGCACCAGGATCTGTTTAAATGCCCTTCGTGCTCCAAAGCCTTCGCAGTGAAGGCCGCATGGGATCATCACGTGCGCACTCATACCGGCGAGCGTCAATTTAAGTGCCCTTTGTGTCCACGAATCTTCGCGGGGAGGTCCTCACTGAGACCCCACCTGCGCACTCACACAGGGGAGCGTCCATATAAATGTCCCACGTGTGATATGAGCTTCGCCATCTGGACCACATTGAGGAATCACATGGTCATCCATACGGGTGAGCGGCCCTTCAAGTGCCACCTGTGTCCAAAGACCTACACCAGAAAATCCAGGTTAAGTTCCCATCTACTCATCCACAAGGGCGAGCGGCCGCACAAGTGCCCCACCTGCTCTCGAAGCTTTACGGAAAAAGGCGACCTGAAAAAGCACATGCCCATTCATCTAGAGGAGAGGCCATTCAAATGTCCTTCATGCTCCCACGGCTTCAATCAGAAAGCTGCCCTCAAAAGGCACATGATTCTGCATCAGCAAAAATGACCATTTACGTGTAAGGTCCTCGTAAGAGACCTGATTTGGCAGGAACAACAGTGATGACTTTTATCAATGTTCTGGTGTAAAAGGGTGTTTTCTTGTTTCTTTTTCTTCTTTTTTTTAACAGGGGTGATCGATTGTTCTCAGAGAACTGTGAGAGCGCTGAGCTGCATGGAAAAAAATTATGCGGTGGTTCAAGTAGTGATGTTTAGACTTTATTATTGTCACTATGACATGATTACGTAAGCAGTATTAACATGGGAACAAATAGCTCTGGACATTGCATTGTGATAGAACGATATACATAAGTGCCTTGTCTGTCGTTTTATCATGGTCCCATGTGTAGTGCTGTTTGTTTCTATCTTAAGTTGAAGTACCAACTAACCTCGTTAGATGAACTGCTGGTATTTGCAGTAAAATGTGCTAATTGCAGTAAAAGCCATAATTCGTCATTGTCGTCAGCTACTGCATGAACAATTTGCACGAAATTCCTTGCAAGTGTTTAGCAGATACCACGCTTCTCAGAAGAATCACGAAGAATAGCATAGGGCATGCTGGCCTACTACCCGAAAAATTTCTTATTAATGCCCTAGTGAGTATTAAGCAAGTGTGCTTACAGTAGTTACCCAATTAGTGTTTTGAAAAGGCTCTGAAAGACAGCTCTTCTAGCTTTCGCTGTGACTGTGCTGTGCCTCCCGCGCAGGCTGGGCATTTTCTTTCTTTGATTTCATTTTAAATTTTTTTTATAAGTGATACGTGTAGCCTTTCACCTGTCAGTGTTTTTGTTATACCACTCCCAAACAGAGTTTTTCACATTTAATGTTGTATACTTTTTAAAACTATTTTTTGTAGTATTTGGTAGCCACCTAGCAACATGTGCATTTTTTCACGATAGACTGTATGCCGTTCTTTGTATTCCTTGTTGTTTTTTCCATTTCTGTTCTTTGTTCATTTATATGTAAGCCTGAAACTCTGAAGTAATGAACTGCTTTATTTCCTGTTTTTCTAAAGCGTGCAGATCAATGTCTTAAAGGGCCAGTAAACAGCTCTGAGGTCCAAATTTTTTTAAGAGATATATGTGCAGTTTTTCTTTGCGAACATGCTGCCACAAGAATTTTGCGAATAGGTGTTATATTAAGGAAGTAACAGGGGTTAGAACGTTGGTCTAAGCTGGTTTCAAATTTTCACGCGGCTTTGCCCCCCTTCTCTCTTCCATGAAGGGAAAGGCGTAGCCCATCGTTGTGACTCCGCGCACTTCAGCAACGTGACACCACGTCAGCGATTGATGTCATCGGCGAACTCGATCGGTCACAACGCGCTTCCACTTGCTGCAAAGCGTGGTTGTTTGTTTACCGTTTGCCGCATCAGTCGCGGGTCAACCTTGTAAGCGTCAGGTGCGAAGTGTCGACCACAAATGATCAGGTCCCCGACGTACGTCGCTCGATGGCCGATTTGCATCAGCCATGCAGCGCGCAGGGCCCCATCATCGTGAGGCACCTGGTGCCGATGCTTCTCCGCTGACCAGTCTCACGATTTGCAGCCAACGACAGAGCAACGCTTTTTACCCGTGTTGCTCATGTCAAGGGCGAAGTACGTTTGTACGTTTACACAGGCGCTATAGTTAAGCGAGGAGTGTACATGTGCACGTGACAACTGTAAGGCTGGTTCTTACACCGCAGTGCCGAGAAACAAGGGACCGTTTCGTAGCTGTGGGTGGGAACAGGAACTGACATTGACTTCACTACTGTTTTTTCACACCTGATTTAAACCAATCGGCGAGCTGCGTGCTACGTCACGTCACTGATCGCCGAGTTGACGTCACTGCGCGTGCAAGGGGGTCGGTCAAGTGTAGGAAAGATGCGCGGGAATCGTTTTTCGAAATAGAGGCTCTGCGCGTACAGTTGAATCTTGAGTACAGTTGAATCTTGTTATAACGAATGCTGGTCGAGCAAAGTATCGGTTTAGTGAATCTAATGCAAGCGTTGATTGGTCACACCTGGTTTCAGTGAAATATGTTTTTAAAATGAAAATGTGAGAGAAGCTGTTATATTGACTTTAGTGAACAAACATTTGGCACACTGTGCAAGGCTCAATACCTCAAAAGTAGCATCAAAGTAAAAATAAATATTGAAACACAAGCACATTGTTATAGTCTGCAAAACTGTTAATAATCATTGTCATTCATATAAAATAAAGAAAAGGCACATTCGACTGCTTGCTTCAACAGATGAACCTAAGATTCAAATATCTCAAGGGTACAGGCAGAGATTAACTCTGTGGTGGTTTTGAAGCCTAAAATAATGCGTTTTTGTATCTAGCATTATATACAAGCCAGACTGTCGCTAATTTTCATCTCTACCATTGGACTGAATATCAGGGTTAACAAATTGATTGTCTTGATGCTACTTCGTAACGACAAGTTCTGACTACAAATTTATATAAGGGCACTGCATACACGATCTCATAATTCATGTAGTGATTCACGGAAAGTGCGACCGTAATAAGATCTGATAACGCCTTACACTCGGCTCTTAAGGAATAGCTTTGAAGAAAGCATGCCGTCATTACACACCTGACTAGTGGCGGTGGGGGTGGAGAAATTGAGTAGAGTCTCTTGTATGAATGTCGAAAAGCTAAAAGTGTGGCAATGCTTTCTGTTCGGTTCTGTGGTTTATCATGGTTCAATTGTGAAATTAAGTATTTGAATTTGTCATGAAAAGTTCGTGTTTGCTTGTGCACGCGTGACACTGCTTGCTAATGTAGTCAGTATTGGAACATCTGCTGCTCTATAATGTGCTAAAACTACATGCCTTGCTTTGTATAAAGCATTCTAATGAGTTGCTGTTTCTATCAGCTCTTGCTCCGCCTTTCAAATAGAGTTATGAGTTTTGATTTGCTCTTATGTGTTACCTTACGCTGACTTCACAGGACAGTTTAGCTGTTCCATTTAGTTGTTGTTTATTTGTATTAAGACTGATGTTGCCACCCACATATAATGCTGCTAGCTCTTTTCTTTTGATGGTGATGTTACAGGGTCATAGTGTGTATTATGGAATATTACTTTGTACTGGTATTACATTTGAGAGCACTCATTCATTAACTCCGCTCTCTGAGGACTTATGTATGTCTTTAGTCAACACCAATCGTATGATATCTAACTTGCAAAGTTAACTGTCGGTGCTAACATTGTAGGTAATCGGATATATACATTTTCACTAGAGAAGCTCATGGAATGTGGTTGTGCGTTTCTACAATAAGATGTCATTCTTTTTCACTTTTAGCCTCTAGTAGTGCTCTGACCATGTTTTTGTGCCTATATGCTTTTCTGCAGCTCTTTTTATTTTATTGCTTATTAATAATCTGTGTGAAATTTCTTGTATATTTGGACATATAAGCGCGCTTATCCTGTGTAGTTCTCAAATTACACCCGCTTGTAACCATTTTGTTCAATTCATTAAGCATTTAATCATTTGTCACTTGATGTAACTGTTTTATTTAGCTCAATAAACTACTGTTTCATGATTACTATTCATTTCTTATGTTTTAATGATCATGCTGCGAGTATTCTAATAATAAGTACCTTATTTTTCTCAGTATTGCCTTGCAAGTTTGGTGATGGCATTGATATGTTCATTTGTGTTGCTGTTGAATGCATTTGTGCAGCAGGAATTTTTTAGTAATAATCAATACTCTGCAACTGTGGTGCTTCGTGTGGCTTTTTTTGTTTTTGTAAATGCTCCGAACTTTGTGTGATTTAGCTGCTGCATCTGTATTAGGGCACTACACCAGCGACGGATCCAGGCACTCTTTTTTTTGGGGGGGGGGGGGGGGGGGGGGGTCGCTGAAGTAACATAGCAGAGGGGGCGTAGTCATAACCTATTATTTTTACTAGCAGAAAAATCTTTTCCTAGCATAAACACTGTTAATCTGTGCTCAAAGTGGTTTCACTAATTTGTCTGATTGGTGATTGAAGGTGGACTGCGAGCACTGAATAGAGGGGTGGGAGGTGTTGACAAAGAGTTAAGGGAAAAGTGATTGCCCCTCCCGCCACCCCCCCCCCCCCCCTTCTACATCCGCCATTGCATTACACACACGGTTTTCAAGCAGTCAAACATGTGAACAGCTGAGCTCCGTAAACCCGTGAAACTGCTTGGCAGAATGTTCATGTAATCAATGCCATCTATCCTAGTAGGGGCTATTTCATGGTAAAACTATTACTATGGCAATGTTATGTTTGTTCTTTATCAAGTTTTAACATGGTATTAAAGTGACATTTTTTTCGTATACCAAGTAAATTTACATTAGTAAATTAGTTTTTTACAATTCTAAAATTACTGCGATTGTCGTGAAGAGATGCTTTAGTAAACGAAAGAACATGCAAAACGAAAATGCAGTTTGAAATGCTTTAAATTCCCACACCAGACACCAAGATTTCAAAGATTCTGACGGCATCTGCTGGTCTTGCGTAGCTTGTAATAAGTAAAAATAGAGAACATTGTCCTCTGAGAGAAGACATAAACTTGACTTACCAAGTTCTGGCAAATTTTTTGGTGCCGAAATCTTCACATTAAGACAAATACAAATTGAAATCTACACGCGACCCGATTACGGTGTGCAATTTAAAAATGAAATTTCGACCTTTCTTTTTTCCTCTATTAATAAGTGTATTGCACTAAAATTAATAACATTTGAGTTCTCGTAGTATAATATCTCTGTATAAACCAATTTATTCTTTTACTTTGTCCTGCTTTATTTCATTTCGTGCCAGTTGTGTAGTGTGCAATAAAACCTTAGTTTGTTGGCATTCCTGATAATGCACTGCTGCATCACTGGATCAAAACAGACAAAATTCAAGCCCAAGTTCTTTAGTAATAATGAGCTCTCGCTTCACCTTTCAAACAGAGTTATGAGTTTTTATTTGCTCTTATGTGTTGAACTTTACGCTGGCTTCACACTATGCTTTGATTTTTACATGTGGCGTCGCGACACTATGGACACAAGCACGTTGGGGTCTGGCATCTGTCCAATCTTGCAGAAGATTCCTTTAAAAGTGTGTTGATACTTTGGATTGGGAGCCTTTAGGCATCGGGTAAGGAAAGTAGATGCACTGTGGCTTCTGGTTTGTTATACAACTGTCAGACTCGCTATAGTATGTGTTTGCCAATGTTTCGAGGATTTGCAGCAAATGTTCTAAATGCATGCTTTATGCATGTGAAACAAGTCTGCTTCACATGCGTAAAGCTGGCTTTCAAGTAAAATTTGGTAAAACATTTTTTTTGCCATTTACATGCTTATGGTCATTGAGTATAGGTTCGTGAGTAGTGCATAATACAAGCTGCGACTATGCTCCCTTTTACACCACATACAGGCATAGAAATTGTTCTCCACTAAACCGTCTCACTTTAACACAGTATAGCAAAGTAACATCTCACAAGAAAATAAGTTCGTTATTACAGAAAAATTTGTTATAAAGGTATATTGCTAACAAGTTTTCTATTGCAAGACTATTCTCTATTACTTAGTTATAACCAATATTTCATTATTTCTGGGTACGTTATAT